AGGGTCCCGATCGGTCCGGAAGGAGGATCCCTCTGCAGAAACCCCCCTCCTCGCGGTAACCCTAGGGCAGCCGGGCGGACGTGGGGCCGCCCGCGCAGCTGGTCCAGCAGTTTAGGGACCGGCGCTGGTCTGCCTGCCCCTCGTCCGCCGCAGCGCCTGCCTCGCGGAGCCGGTGCCAGCCTCGCGCCTGCACCAGGCAGACCTGTTTCCGCGGGCTGTCACCTTGCGAGCAGGGCTGGGCCCTGTTCCGTCTCGGCCGCCTGCCCAGGCTTGCACAGGCGTTAGCTTCGCTGTCCCGGTGCCCAGTGCTTCGGGGGGCAAGCTCCTGGCATGGCCAGGGGTGGCGGGGACCACAGTGCCTTCCAGACACCCCTCTTTAGGGTCAGAGGTAGAGCTGCCGTTCAGGACTGCTCCGAGGGAGGGCCGGAGGAGGGGAAGCGGGCCTGCAGCTTGTGGGGCCAGGTGTCCGGCAGGGAGGTGGGGACAGGCCCCGCTCATGCCCAGAGGGTGACCGACTCATTGCTGCTTGGTTAGAAAGTGCCCAGCGCCAGCCCTGGCCCCGGAGCTCAGTTGGTTAGAGCGTGGTACAATACGCCAAGGTTGAGGGTTTGACCTCTGGTCAGGGCCCATATACGGATCGACCAACGAACGCATGAATAAATGGAGCAGCACATCGATGTTTCTCTCTCCCTCTCTCCCTAAAGGAAAAGGAAATGCCCCGGCACCGTAGGTTTGGAAGGATTCAGAGAAGGGAAGCTGTGCCTGTCGCCCACGGGGGCGGGACTCTTGTTCCTGGTGCGCTCTGTGTAGTGGGGTTCAGCGGTCATGGGGTCACACAGGTTGGGGGGAGCGATACCTTCCTCCCGCCCGCCTGTGCACCTGCCCCTGCAGCAGAGAGAGCAGATCCAGGGACGCGCCCCTCACCCGCTCTGCCTGGGCACAGGGCCTGGGCAGAGGCCAGCCCTTAACAGTGAAGTTCCTGAGACACCCCGCCCCCTCCGTGCTGGTTAGGGCCCCTTGGAGCCCCTTGGGGTCCCCTCCCCCCGCCCCCCTCCCCCATCACTGTAGGCCCCAGTGTGCTGTGATTGCTGGCAGTCTGCAGCCTGGGTCTTGTGCCTCTGCGTGTCCCCAGTATCTCGCCAGGCCTAGATTTTGCCCAAGGACAAATCGTGTCTCCATGCCCAGCGTGGGGGGAGCTCTGGGGGCAGGGGGAGGGGACCCCAGCCTGGGGACACTTTCCCCCTAAGCTCGGCGTGTCCGGGACTCTCATCCCCCCTAAGCTTTGGCTTTCATTGGCGGCTGCAGCAGGACCCTGGGAGGCCTGACACCAGCCCAGTCCTCATCTGACTTGCATTACAGCTGGCAGCCAGGCGGGCTTTGTGTGCTGGAGGGTCCGGCCTGCACGCTCTCAGCTCTCAGCTCTCAGCGCCCGGCAGGTTCCTGGCCAGGGTGCGGCCAGCTGCTCAGCCCATTCCCTGCCCCCCTCCCTCCCTCTCTCTGACCGTGTGCATCCCTGGGGACCTGAGGGAGAGGCAGGTCTGAGCCCTAGCCTTGCCCAGGGGTGGCCTTCTCTCTGTCTCCCCCCCCCTCCCTACCCCCTCCCTCCCT